TATCCCTTATTCCCCAAAGGTTTACCCCCAGTTAACAATGTGGCACCTTCTCTCTTCCCATGCTCAATGTAGGTTAAAACTTTATCAAACTGCTGCTTTGATACCTGCGATTTTCAGGGAATGAAACGAATGAAACGAAACACGAAGTTTCGAGGTTGTATTTTTTGAAAAGCTGAGGAATTTTCAAGCATATGTAGTACTTGAATTAGAAATATTGGAACATGAGTTTAGACGGTAATGATTAATTACCTGGGGTCCTTGACGAACATTAGGATCAAAAGGATCCCCAACTACCCAAGTTTTCACCTTGTCTTCTAACTTCTTCACAAATTCATCATAAATTCCGTCTTGAACGTAAACACGCGAACTTGCCACGCAAATTTCTCCCTAAAATATGAATTTTAGTGAGACAAATTGAGGCTCCGTTTAATAACTATTTCGTTTTTCAAATTTTCAGTTTTTGTTCTTACTTAAAAAAAAAATTGAATGTTACGTTTTGAAAATTTGGCTTGATTTTGGTTTTATGTTTAAAAATTAGAAACAAAAACTGAAAAGGTTATCAAACGATGATTTGTTGTAATCTTCATAAGTCAGTTTAACAATGAGCAAAGTTATGAACATGACCTTGTTGTAAAAGATTCCCAAGAGAGCCAGCTCAACAGCCATATTTATATCAGCATCATCAAAGATCACAAGGGGAGACTTGCCTCCTAGTTCGAGTGAAACTTGTTTTAGATTGCTTTTTGCTGCTGCCTGCATAACTTCACGCCCTACCTCCGTCGAACCAGTAAAAGTGACCTGAAATATTACAGATTCCGGCAAGACATTCACGTACTGTCCTCAAAATTTCGTAAACATTTTCCCCAGAAGTGACACAAGTTTTGAAGGAATAGAAAAACGGGAGTTTACCTTGTCTATGTCCATATGATGGCTGATGGCAGCACCAGCAGTCTGTCCAAATCCAGTTATCACATTGAGCACTCCATCAGGAACACCAGCCTTCATAAGAATTTACAAGCCAAAATCACCACTAGTGAGCCACATTGGAAATCTTACCGATATAGTTCAAGTAAGCTACCGATTTGATCTCTAAATTATTACCTTCGTGAAAAATAATTCTCTATACAATTTTTTTTCCCTAAACTCGGTAATCATTGTCAATTTCCCCCTATCATCATATTCAAAGCCATTCCATCCAATCTTACGTCAATTTAAGTCACTTGACACACTTAAAGTATAATATTGTCATTACTCGTCCATGAACCCTTGTAGCAATGAAATTATCATAGGTTTGATCATGCCTGTAATGTTGTAACTTGTAAGCTTAATCAAATATAATTTCACTGCTATAGGGATTTCATGGGCATACCAATATTATCCTCTAACTATGTCACACGACTTAAATTGACGGAAGACTGGATGGAATGGTTTCGAGTCTAAAGGTAGGAGGGTAACTGACAGATTTTTACGAGTTTAAGGTCCACAAGAGTTAGCTAAACATAGAGCTACAGCATGACTAACTGAGCTTATACCAGCTTAGCTAGATGAGCGTAGTAAATCGCCGATAGAGGTGTCTGCTCGGCCGGTTTGATGACCATGGTGCACCCGGCGGCTAAGCAAGGGCTGACCTTCGTGAAAAACAGGGTGCTCGGGAAATTCCAGGGAATGATGTGTCCTACAACACCGATGGGTTCGAGCAACGTATACCCGTGAAAATCACGCGACATTTTGAGCACCTCCCCGTGGATTTTGTCGGCTGCGCCGGCATAATAACGGAGAGAGTTCGCCACAGAAGGTATGCCTGCGATCTTGCCATTGCCGAACAAATTTCCGGCATTGACGGTATCCAGGCTGGCTAGTTCTTCTACATGTTGGTCAATTAAGTCCGCAAATTTCAGCATTATTCTTCCTCTCTCCTGAACATTATGTCATGCAATAAGCAAATTTGAGTGTTGTTGACCCGTTTATTAATCGGGGGTTGGACACATAAAGTTAATATATTCTCGATGGTACATACTAAAAGAGGTGGCCTCTATCATTGTATATCAATTTCAAATTATCAACAAGTATGTTAGTTTTGTGTATATCAGTTCTACAATATCAAAGTCGGAGTAGGAGATATTTGTGAGTTTTGCAATATTGGTTGAAATGGGAACCGACTAAAACTCGGGGCAACGCTATCAATATGGACAAGAAGATGCTGCTAAACTAAGAGCTAGTTGGTTTGAATATGAGAAGTAGATCAAAATTGATGCACTTACATTTTTTTTTTCTGAACAAAATATGAATTTTAAACTTATTAAATATGAATAATACTTGCATTCCTTCTTTGGGGATGAGTTCATTCCCTCACTTACAAACAACATGTTTTATTTTATAATTAAAATCATTCAATGTCTTTATCTTCATTTGAAGATCAACCCTATAAAGAATCAGTCGAAATGGAAATCGTTTATTCTCCATATGTTTCAAATAATGGATGATTCATTATTAATATATTCTTTGATACAAACACCATTGATTTATTTGATACAATTTGAATAACTAAATGATCTTTGATTCAAATTATTTTTTTTGTGAAAATGATCTTGAAATGAAGATTAAGACGGTTTCAATTATAAAATTTATATGCTAAAGATACATTTATTACAAGTGGAGGAATGAACTTACAAAGAAAATATAAGTACCATTTCAAATGGAATATTAAATGACCATTTCTACTTATATTAATAAAAAGAATGCACATAAGGCATTAAGCCAAAATGATTCCTTAAATTGGTATAAATCTTCACTTTGGTATCTGAAATTTGAAATTGATAGAAATGATCTATGAGTTTGTCCACCATCAATCATTTTAGTCATTCCGTAAAAAATCTCTATTAAATAAGAATAAAATGACAAAAATACCTACAAACTTAGGGACCATTCCTATCGATTTCAAATCTCAAAAACCAAAATCAAGAGTTATGCAAATCTCGAATCATTTTGACTAAAAAGCCTATACATAATAAAAATGATTATTCGTTGTTCCATTTCCACGTGAGGAGATCTTTGCAGATACTCAACACAAATAGAATAATAGTAGTTTTGGAAAAGAATAATAATACATGCAAAACATGCATTATTTGAGAGATTTTTCAAATGTTGTAATAACTAATAAGTGCTTATGGCGTGCAGGCGTGGTCAATAATAATCGTACCTAACCCAACTCAACCCAAATCATATAATTATCTGACACGGATGGGAGATGCTCTAATAATTTTTAGAAAACATGGAATCCCAACAAACATAAAAAAGCTGAAAGAGAACAATAATGCGTATAAAGTTCGGAAAGATATTTCAGATATTTTAATATCTTACTCCCCTTTTAATAAGTTGTCTTTAACAAAACTAATTCTTGAGTTTTTTCGAAAATACAAAAAGGGGGTTAATGTGGTATATGAGGATATGAGGGTTTGCCGTTTGGAAAAAGAGGAAAGACCCGCACTGTCTTCTTTGTGTTTCGAAAAGGGTAAAGCGGATGACAATCTTTATGTTGAAATGTTCGAATTAACCATGAACACAAGTCGTGCAAAGCACATGATTTATTTTGTATGAAAATTGAAAGGAAGTTAGAACAAGATGATAAATTAATGATTTCGAAAAATTATTATGACAAATTGCAAAAATTTTAGTTCATTTAACAACTAAAAAAAAAATTATATGACATTTAAAAAAATAAAATTCTCTTAATTAGTTCGACGAGATTTTGTTGTTTGCTACTTGAATAATTAAAGGAAATGAATCCTCTCCGGACCCTTTCCACTTAATCATTCTCATCAAATAATTCGGATCCTTGAAATTTGATTCAACGGTTAAAAATACGGACCCATTTTAAAGTTATAATAATTTTAGTCGTTTGATCAAATTTCAAAAGTTCAAATTGTTTGATGTAAAGGAGTAGGTGGAAGGGATGCAGAGAAAATCCTTTCCATAAGTAAATGTAATTGCAATGACAATATATATAATTTATATCATATGACGGTATTCTAATTTTACACGGTAAATTCTTTTTCGAGAGTACGATTTAGAGTGCATACACTGCCGGGCAAGCGAGGCCAAGGGCCATTTCGAAGGCAGCACGTGCAGCCTCGACAGCCAAATCAACATCTTCCTTATCTGCTTCTGCAACTCTAGCTATCACCTCCCCTGTTCTTGGATCCATCGTCTCAAATGTTTTCCCTATTAAAAAACACAACATGCATTTAACAATTTATGTATGTGAAAGCTAGAGGGCGAGCCTTGATACAACAGAGAAGTTGCTCTTTTGTGATCGAAATATCACGGATTTGAGTTGAGGAAAACAATCGCTTTGCAAAACAAGAGTAAGACTGTATACTATAGACTTTTTCCCCGACCCTCACAAAGCAGGGAGCTTTGTCAGCTTGGGGTCAGTCTTATGTACGTGAAAGCTAATAACTTTGTTGGGAAGAAAAAAAAATGATGAGAACCTGAAACGGAATCAACGAATTCTCCATTGATGAAGAGCTTGGTGTACTTTATTGTCGGAATTTTGACGGAAGACTCGGAAGCTAAGATGCCGTTGGAATCACTAGCCATGGCGGTCCTCTTCCTCACCGTGATGTGCTCTGTTTTGCTTGTGTAGAAAATGAAACTCTTGTTTCTGTTATATATACACAGAGCGCATTATGCGGTAATAAAACTTAAAATGTTTTTCTATTTTTTGAAGCCAGCATTAGTATAATGTTAATGAATACTAAATTTTGAATAATTTGTTAAATTATTCATGTACATGCACTTATTTAATATATTTATCATATAACGGTTAAATATGATATTTTTCGTGTTTAGTTCAGAAACTAACCGCCATATGATATATACTAAAAGTTGATATGAACATAAATCGAGACTTCCAATATGATGTTTCAACCAAATCATTTGACATTATGAATCCAAACTCTTAACAAGCACATCCAACTTTCAAGGTACACACAACGATATTGCATCCAACGGAGAGAATCAAAATCTTGACATTATGAATGTGTAGGTATACATCCATGAAGAGATTTTTCAGTGTGACCGGAACAAGGTTCGGTACGCCACATGTCATTATACAATTGGAGGGACTCTTAAAAAAAAATTAAAAAAGAAACTTCCATCATCTAAGCTATATGTTTTGCTTCTAACTATTGCGGATACGAAGGAGGCTGGTACGCTGGTGGAGCAGCACTTGCGTACCCGTAGTTGGTCTGGCCACCATAAGCGCCACTACTTCGGAAGCCGGCAGCACCCAAGCTGTCCCCAGAAAGGGAGTAGTGTTGCGACGGAAGAGCAGCGGGGCTTTGAGCAGGGGGAGCTCCGTATGTGGATCCGTATGATGCTACTGTTGGACCATCGTACACACTTTGGCTCGGGTAATTATAAGGACCAGAGTATCTTGTTGCAGGGCTATGCTGTGGAAGAGGATTTGGGTTCCTGCGGGTGAAGGAGGGGTATGCATTGGAAAACTTGGCGGCTTTGGCAGGGCGGGAAGAAGACTGTCCAACCCCTTGGCCACCACCCCCACCACTGCCGCTGCCACCACCTCCACTGCCACCGTAGGCTCGCTTATTATTATGAGGCCTGCTGGAAGATGCTGATCTCTTCTTCCTTTCTGTCCTGGCTTTCTCCAAATGAGTGGCCCGCTTTCTTAAGTTCTCAAGAGAAAACTCTGATTCAAGCTTGTGGTCTTCTACACATTTGATGATTGCTTTGATGGAATTCAACTCAAATGTGCTCGATTCCTCCTGTAAGATGGACTTCGATTAATAAATCTCCCAAAAGTGTGCAGAAACTCTTCTGATTACAGAGTGAAAAACAAAACTCTGTTGGGGAAACTAAAGACAAAAGGAAAGTTACACATACAGTAGCAGCCACACTATTATTGCCATTCTTCAATATGGTCGCAGCATTCTTTCTGGAGTTCTTGAGATACGACTTGAGCAGAGAAACAGGAGGAAATCTCTCGGTCAAATCAGACTCAGAAGCAAAATATACAGCCTCTATTTCCTTGCCATTCTTCACTAACTCATCAATGACATCTGTACAAATCAGAAATTCATCAAGTATGCACAACGGGCAATGCTTACAAAATGAAAATCTAGGCAATCAACTAATGATGCTGAACCAAATAAGAGGGAAGAAGAACAAAAAAAGATTCTCTCAGAAGAATCAAATCAGTGGAACAAACACTTAATCAAGTCATACCCAAGTTTCGTTTCATAAATTGGGCAGATGTTCGTAAGCATTAACACTTTCATCCCTCAATTGTAAACTCATTCTATTCTATGTACAAGTGGGAGGTACAAACTACAAACATACGTTTCTCGGCCTCTCACATAAGATTAAGTTTACTATCTGTTATTATCAGTTTTGAAGAGGGGGAGGCAAAACTAAGGTACACACCGTACTTATTTCTAGCATTTACTATTTACGCAAAGTATGGAGGTTATCAAATTATCATTGGGAAACTTAGCTCCTAAACATATCAATGTCTCTCTGAGCGGAAATTTCTGAAGAGCTGTAAATTCTTCATCATCAAAATTTACTACGTCAGCTATCCTACAGCTCAAATTCTAAGCAAAATAACATACAAGAGGTAAAGCTTTTCACTTTTTCACACACTAAATGATTCCCTGATATTACACTCCGAGTGTCTGCAGACTATCAAAATCAACTCAAAACCTTGGCCATAGAAGTGCTGCTTTTCTAAATCATAATTTCTAATTTAGATTTCATTTGATAATGAAGCAACATGAGACTGAAATCTGTCCTACTGGCTTAGTAAGTGTCAACATTAACTTAATCTTAGGTTTGCTAGGCTCACAAAGACTTTTAATCCGAATCACGTGCTAGCTAAGCTTAAACCGGTAATGGAATCAAACTTGCAGCAACAATGTAGGTTCAAGTTTGATAGGTTATGCCTCAATATGCAAGCAGAAAGACCATTCGCAATACAAGTTTCTCAACAAGTGGCAGCATAAGTTTTTTTGCAAACAAACTGTTGCAACAAAATTGGAATTGATTAAACAAACACTGTGAACACTTACCTCCCATTTTCTCTCCGAATTCTAGAGCCCTTGCTAGCTTTGCCATATCCCTCCTCGCTGCGTGCTCCATTACCAACTTCCTAAAGAACTCCTCACCGAACTTCTCCTTCAATCGAAACCCAACGAGCATTTGCACAAACATCACCGCCTCCGCAGCCCCCAATGTCCCGCCACCACCGTTTGAATCTCCATCCATCTGCGCCTTCCACATATCTGCAATCCCCGCCGCTCTCTCCACCATGCTCCTAGAAAACTCCGGCCCTTTCGTGCCAGCATTGGGCTTACCCTCCGGAAACAGAGCCTGAACTAACAGCCCGCACGCCCACCTCTTATCGGTAACCCCGAATTTCTTGGCTTTAGAATCCAAAAAATCTTCCAATGCATCAAGCACCAATCTTAGCGGGTCCACCGCCTCCGAAATCGCCTGTACAATCTCCGCCCGGAGCGATATCGATTCCTTCCGCTTCGACACGATGAACTTCACCAAACCCTGGGAGTCCATTTTCCTGCAAAACGATTTCAGGGTCTCCGCCAAATCCAAATCCCCAAAAGCATTCTTCTCCACCTCGGCCAAGGCCGCGGCTTTCTGCTCCTCGATTCGAGCAGCGGTGGAGGACTCGCGCTCCGGGATGGAGGCCTCGCGGTGGTCGAGGGATTGTAAGGTTTCGCGGGAACGGGATTCCAGGGATTGGATTTTGGATTCGAGAGAATGGGATTTCTCGGAAATGGATTTCTGGAGGGAATCGAAGTGGTCGGAGAGGGTTGTGAAAAGCTTGGTAGAGGTGGAGAGAATCGCCTTCTGCGCCTCCAGGTCCTCGAAGAACTTCTGGACTCGGTCCGTCGTGACCACCACTTCGGTCCCCATTGGCGGATATGGTGATGAAATCATGAAACGACGCTGTTCTGAAGTCACTGAATTGGGGATTTTTCGGAAACGAAAACCCTAAACCCTATTTTCTGAAGACGAAGAAGAAGCAGAAGATCAGCCTCTGCGCGGTGAATCTGAATTTTCTTTCATTCCCTTCGGTTTTCACGTTACGATGAAACGGTACCGTTTTAGTTGCAGAACCCTCCTTGCCTTTGGTTTTTTTTTTTTTTTTTCCCTCTTTTGGTCCAATACCTATATTTGAGTTGCCAAATGACTTACCATAAATGGCAAATTAACTTTACATACACTTAGCCAATTCATAACACTAATTATAGTTTATCATCTTAATTATGAGTACATGTAACACAAGTTATGTGATGCGCTTTTTCACGTGTTATAATTTGAGTGAAATAATAACACTACGTGACTGTGTTCCGAATACACTAAAAATTACTCGCTACGTAAGAACATATGAAGTGAGTATAGAGTCTATAGACAATAGGGATTTTCCCATACAAAACTTTAGAAAGACACCCTTCTTATCCCATGAACTGATGAACATTACTATATATGCATACACACACACACACACACACATAGATACACACACATAGCAACAAAGGATTAAACAAACAATTTCATTTCTACTCCTAAACCATCGATTCATTCTTCCGAAAGATCTTCGAATGATCCCCGAAACGCATGGAGAACGAGCGAGATAGGTGATCGTATTCTTCGGGTTCGTCCAACACATATAATTGATCAAAATGCTGAGAGTAAGTGCAAGGATCACATGAGACTTGCACAGGTGATGGAGAGTCAAAAATCTTCCTCTTTTCTTTCTTCAACTTCACCCGCAGCACAAGACTTTCCACCTCAACTTATTGCCGTTTGATCTGCTCTCAGTGTGAATCTCGGGCGATCAATCTCATCGTAGTACATTCGCCCGCCCAATCGGATGGTTATGCGGCCTGAGCTGCACAAATATTTTCTCACATCCACTGCAGCAACCTGCAGTACAAGTTACTGTGTTTTGAAAGTTGCCCTAATTGATAAGAGTGCATATCATACATACATATATATAGCTGTTTTGTTGTAAGTATGGATACCTCTACCTCATGTGGGTTGGCTAAGCTTTCACTATTCGTTGAAGACTTTTGTATAGGGTAAATAGTTTTCACTATTTGCTACGACATCCTTTGCTTTATGATTTCGTAAGATTGTAGCTGTTTGTCTATGACTTTTGCCTATATAAACTTGTCTCATTTTGTAAGATTGAACTGGAATGTATCAAACTTGTCTCATTTTGATTTACAAAGCACTCAATAGAAAAATGAAGTGAGAAGAATCGTTTATCTTCAACAAAATGCGATTTGTGACTCATATAGTCCACCCTGGATGGCTAATAGAAAAGCTCATAGCTCAGTTTGCTGAAGATTTCAGGACCAAACAAATGCTTCATCTAGAAGAATAAAGTAATTAACATGCGTTTATTAAACTGTAATCCGGATGAGGTGGATCCTAATCATCTCATCGTAAGGATCATGCAATTATCATGTGGGTGGATCATAACATAGACAAGGTTTTTTTTTTAAACATTGGAGGTTTCGAAACCTGAACCTAGCATACTCCTATCCATTTCTATATCCACTCTCACCACTAGACTAAGCCCATAAGGGGGTTCAGAGAGTTGTCTCAGCTTGTATCAAGAGACAAAATTATCTACATCAGCATACCGCATACCACTCTAATGGCGGCATTAGGGACTAGACATTTAGGACAAAAGCGTCACGTAATTCGAATTATGCAGATTTTAATTATTTAATTAAAATTTAGATATGACAGTACGTAATTAGCTTAAAGATCACAAAAGACATCCCCATATTAGTATCCTTTTACCAAAAAAAAAAAAAAAAGGAAAGGGAAAACCTCCCTTTGCAAAATCGTCAACGTAAGGAATCAATGAAACATGCACCACCCAAAAGTAAGTATTAGTAAATAAGAAAGTGTTATTCACACACCTATTTTATTTCCTACACATTCTTATTAAATTTTTTACCGTTAATTTTCTTCAATTCATTCAATCCGACAGTAAAAATTAAAAGAGTGAAAAATAAAATAAGTATGTATAGCACTGCCCTAAGTTGCACATGAGGAACCCCATTGGAAACTGGAAAAGCAAAATCTCAATCGATGGATGAGTCAATTTTTCAATTTTCATTACTTTTGTTTTATAATAAATATTACAATTCCTTTACACACATACTTTTGGGAGGGTGACACACTTGTGTCCCAAATGCCTTCCAAGAGTTTCTTTTTTTCTTAAACTTGAACTCTCCCCCAAGAGGTTATGTTTTTTTCCCTTCAACTTGGAGAATTGCATCCCTTCTACAACCAAAATACAACATACCAAGAGTACAAACTTCTACGTCTTTGAACTACCTCCGATAAGCACGAATGCCGGTACATTTTAGTGCCTCTACTCATACGTTCTCCATGAAAGCATTTTTGCCTCCTCCACATGGTACAGAACTTTCTGTATCGTCAGGAAGGCTAGACAAAAGGTGCAATCAGCCATCCGCCGAGAAGTACATAATGCCGCCTTGGTGTCGCTGTAAAATCCCAGTTTACCAAGAAAATGTTAACAGCTTATTGCTTATCGAAATAATACTTAAAAAACTGGATGGAGGTGATTTGAGTCCGAGGTTCGAGCCCACAACTTAGAAGAAGTTTACTGAACTAACACGGGATCTAAAAGCATCATATTATACCTGCATTTAACATCATCATGCAGCTTTTCACCGAACCTGATCCTCAAGACACCGTTCTCCCGTAGCAGATAGATGCAATGTAGAGATTCTTTAACCATTTTTCCTGCCACAGCGAAAATAAACAGTAAATCCACCACAGAAAAAAATCATACATCTAAGGTAATTTAATTCTATTAGGCGGGCAACACCCACTCTCCCCAAATTGGATATATCTCAGCAATTAAAATGTACCTTCACTTGGTAAGTTGGAAAAATCGATGTCCGTAGAGTTTCTTGAGCCACATCTGGTGATTTCTTCTTGGGTAAACTAAGTATGAATGCAGCTTGATCCTCCGTAGCCGCAGTGGAGGTAATCCGATATCCGTTCTCCCATCTTCTATGGATTCCTTCACTGGGATACAGGAAATCAAGTTCGACAACCTAGCAAGATAGTGCATAGGACGCAGTTAGCTTCTGCACTGTTTCACCTGAAACAGAACATTACAACCGGAGTTTTAAATTGGTATACCTGACTAGAATAACCTGCATTTCGGGACATGACTATACCCCATCTGCTACCTGCAGTAGTCATGGAGGTAACAGAGAAACCTTCTTTCCACTTCTTATTAATCCATTTGAAAGGGAACACATCACTGACTTTGTAGGATTGTTGAGTATAAGGCACACCTGCAATGGGAAGACAGCGAAAAAATTAGGAATTAGCTATTAGAAAAGAACAGCTCAACCAAGTCAGAATGACAATTCGATGAGATATATCCTGCAGATCAATGCTGAAGGTAGGGGCAAAGATAAGTGACTGCACTGCAGAAACCAAGCCCCAGCCACATTGCCAAAGACAATAAGAAGCTTGGTAAACTAGTTTCACTTACCTTGGGACATTACCACCAGAGCACTGCCATTTAATGCGCCAGCAAGTGAAGTAATATAGTAGTTCTTGTCCCATTGTTCCATTATCCATTCCTGGTGGACAATAAGAAATCATCAACTTTCTGGAACAGAAAATAATTAAATGTCAAAGTGAAACTTGATGGGAAGTACTTAATAGCTACCTTGTGCAAGAAAATAGATGATCGTTCATAAACTTGGGATGTGAAGCCAGTCCCAGCATCCATGACGACAGCCCACATATTTGTAGATGAAGCGACACAACTAATATACAAACCATCTTCCTTTCCTTTATCAATGTGCTGGTCCAGTCTTTGATCCAAAACATTGTAGTGATACCTGCAGAGAAGCCTTCTTGTTACTCGCTGATACAGGAACAAGAATGTAAAGCCAAGAATAAAGTAACAACAAAAAGAATTTAGATTAAAGGTAAACCGGGAAACAGGGATTTAGGATGGGTGATTGGCGAGACATTGTCAAGGCTTCTCTACCTTGCCGATGATAAATAAAGTAAGAAAACCTGAAAGGGATTTATGTTCCCTTCACAGAAACTACCTTTGTTTCATTGATGATCTGGTATTATAGACCGAGATCCACTGAGTAGCTGGACTACCTTGGCGAACTTTTTTCTTAGGTTGCTCATCATCTACCGAGTCAACAGGCAATCTTCCTCTTTTTTGACCCGCCTACATTGCATAAAATTTCAATAAATAATTGAACTGGCCAGAAACTTAAAATTTATCAACAGATTATAACATGAGCAACCACCTTTGCAGCTCCATCAGTTCTGATAGGTCGCAGAGAGGCAATTGTGCCAATGCTGTTATCAAAAAGGGAAATCAGCTTTAAGTAATTTGGTTCTTCATCGAATTTCATATTGGTAACCATCTCAAGAAACTGTTGAAAAGGGGGAGGGCATAAGCTGCATAGCGTCTCAGCAGAAGTTGCCATCTTCTTCTTGCAAACAAGAAAACCTTTGTTCTCTCCCTGCAGCCCCAAACTCCAGGTTAGCATTTGTAAACAGAAATAGGCCATCCAGCTGGAATGGTAATGCATAGTGAAATAACAAATGAACTTACATTGTAGCCTTGCCAGGGAAGCTTTCCTCTAAGGAGAAATATTAGGGTATAAGCTAACGATTCAAGGTCATCCCTTCGGCTCCCTGTCCTTCCTAAATGAGCGTGTACACTTGCATAACGTACAGTTCCCCTTTTAAAGATATCAGATACATTAGGCCATTTCAGATCATGAGTGAATTTCAGATAAGGAAAATTCTTCTAAAGGACTTGTAATCCATATCAAACTGAAATAATGCTCGTTACTACAATTAAGTGACATGTGCAATCAGTCAATTGTCCTATTTTCTGAAATGCTTCTTAGATTATATTCACTTCCAAATCTAATAAAACCCCTTTAAAGCAATTGTTTTTGTCATGATACTTAAAAGATAACAATTTTTATTTCTCCCCTCAATCCCTCCTAACCATCTTGTAACTGACCATCCAACGCACACACCATGGTCAAGGTTGTAGTTACCTGAAAACATCAGGTTTTTGGTCATAATCAACATGACGTCCAGAAGACCCATCTCTCCATCTGGAAGCTGAGGAAGAAAAACATACAAGAATAGTCACAAGTTGTTCAAAATTCCCATGACATGAATACACAGAAGCACATTCAACTGTGGTCTAAGAGTTTTTCTTTTCCCAATACTTGTCTAACAAAGAACACATACCCAAACCAAGATCAACAAGATATAACTTCTTCTCATTAGGTGTTCCAGGTAGACCAAGTAAAAAGTTTTCGGGCTTAACATCTCCATGCACAAAACTGCAGCGAAAATCATTAACCATGAACAACGTATGCGACAGAAAAAATTAAAAGAAAAAGAAAGACGGAGAAACTAATTAATATCAAGGTACCCTCTAGTGTGAAGCTGCTGCAGAATAGAGATTGCCTCCACCGCTATACAAGCAACCATCTCTTCAGGCAGCCTTTGGAGAAAACAAAAACAGAAACGCAAGACCAAAGTGTTAAATATAGCCCATAAACTGAAGGTGCATAATTTTCAGAATACTGACTCTGAAACTTGGAGCATAAAAACAGAAGAGAACAATATGATTTCTTACAACTGATTGCGAGAATTCCAAACATCCCATAAACTTGGCCCTAGCATATCCATGACCTGTATTCATATTGAGGAATAATTATTCATGAATGGAAAGTATTCACAATATTTCCAACATTTGGAAAACCTTTCAAGGAAACAAATATGGATAGACAAGATACTCACTAGGATATAGTACTCTCCCTGTTGACCTTTGTAATGGACGAGGGGAAGCCCATAGCATCCATTAAGAGTACTGTTATCGTAAAAACAATGGTCAGGATACACAGATTAGAGTTTAACTAAAATAGGGATGAAATATTGCACTACCTGTATACTTGCCACTCATAAGGAGGGCCGTGGCTGCAACCTTTACCATTTTTACTTTCAAGCTTCAGAGCAACCTACAATGAACAGGAAATGACCATTAGTATCACACAACTTCCTCAGAGAATTTACACAGGTATACTAGAGATGCACTGCAACTATGAAACCTCATAGGCATCAGCCCCAGAGCACCCTAAGCCGCCAGTCATCCTTCTTCCCACATAAACTTGTCCAAAACCCCCCTTCCCCAACTTTCTGTCTAGCTTGTACATGGGAGATTTGCCAACCTGTACCTGAAAAATACAAAATTTATAGGAATTATATACTATATTAAATGGACAACGCTTCTATAGTAATATACATAAAGCTAATCAGAAAGGTCATAAAATTACTCTGTCCGGAAGTGGACTAGTGCTTCCTTCATCCTCCATAGCAACCAATTTCTGTGCACCTTTCTGATCTACCAACTCGTCGTGAACCGGCGCTAATTCTCTTTCTGGAAAACCCAAACCTGTATGCCCTTGGCCACCAACTCCAGCACCAAAAAGCTTGGAATTCTTACCTTGATTCAGGGCTCTAGACCCTCTACCCCTACCTTTACCAGTCAGAACTGCACTTGAACAAAGAAAGCACGGGGTTAAATGAATTTTTCAGAAGATATCAAGAATAGAATGTTGAAGCTATTACCTTTTCCAGCACCAGGCCGCACAGCTGGAACTAGAACAGCAGGATCTTCCTGGACATAATTGATCCTCTTTGAACGTCGAACTCCACTTCTTAAATCTGGCATTCTATATTCATGCAAATAATCTCTACTTTCCTTCTCCAGCCCCAAAAGAATGTTGAAAAATTAAAGCCTTAGATTCAACCTAACAAACAAAAGACGATAAATCAGATTTTCTCTTTACTTCAGATACTCACCGTACAAAATTTAAATTGACACATATTCATATTAGTAACGTCATTCAACGACATACAAGTGAAAACAAGATCTATAACTCATAAATGCATAATGATTCCAATGACACGTGAATTTTCATAGCAGCGACACGTTTTAACTGAACCATTATATATCGCAGAAACAAAATTTGGTTTAAAAGTCCTGGCATTGCAAGTTGATGTCCATCACAAACATAATAGACATTCAAAACTTTACTCAACACAACTACAGCTACATTAGCACCCAAGCACAATTACATTAATTTCCAAAAGCTACAACATCATTGATCTTCATCTGGCCAAAATCCCGATTACCCACAAGTTCAAAGTTCAACCGAACAGTCTTATATCCCAATCATTCATTCAAACAGAACGACATATAAATCTATCACCAAAAAGTAAAATCATCACTGAAATCCTAAACATCTAATCCATAAACCACAAACATCACACAAAAGCGCAAACTTTTAACCCGAAAACCTGCCTATTCGGAAAGCTTTCAGCTCAAATCAATCAAACCCATCTCAAATTTTCCACCCACCAGTTAGATGAATCCAAAAAGCCATGCAAACACAGCAAGCACAAAATTCCCAGAAAATCAAAATACAAAAACAAGAACACCCACATACAGATTCACACAAACCGATGCACTGCAATCGCAAAAACATCAAAACAATCAGAATCAAAGGCAAATTTACAGCATACCCAAATGGCAATACACAGGAAAGTATCGAACTTTATCGAACAAACACGTACCTTTTGATAAAAAGCTCATGAATTCGAGAACCCAATAGGATTCTTCCGATGAAAAATGAAGAAAAAAATGGAGGATTTAACAAAATGGGGTTTGTTTCATGGAAGAGAGGCTATCAAAGAATTTGACGGTGGGTGACTTAGGTGGGTCTGAATGTGTAGAGAGAGAGCGTAGAGAGAGAGAGGTGTATCCGCATGGGAAAGACGGTGTAAGCGAGCTGGTGCGTGCGATACCACAAGGGAAGACGTGGAGCGAATGTATTGGTGGAGCAGAGGCCCTATCGTGTACGTGAGTATTGAATCGTGGCTGCCTTGAAGTACTGTAACTTTTTAGATTTTTGTTTCAGGTGGGGCAGCCGGGCAGGTGCTGAGGTCAGCAAATATTAGTAGTGGGTTAATTCAATTTGGACCGGTTACAAAAGATTTTTTGAAAAAAGTATTTTATTTAAAAAATATCCAAAAAGATTTTTATAATACCAAGTTTTAACTCGTGTATTTTACCAAACCAAAAAAAATCACGTGCGTCTTTATTGATGCTTTAATCGTGTCGATTTTGTTGGTTGTTTGGGGGCAAAAAATGGGTAAGAATTAAACTCGCATAGTAAATATAGACATTATTATTTTTTGACATTGCGTTATAGAGGCATATGCATTTTCTTATGCATATAAAGTTTAGAATTAAGTCTATAGGATTTATATTGAATATTATCAAACAATTTTTTTTTTTTAGTACGATGATATATTTTACATTAAGAAAGGGAATGAGTTCGGCTAAGCTACATGATGCGCAACCTAATTTGGTATCGAATTTACCATGTACGAGATTTGAACTTAAAACCGTTCAATTATAAATGAAGAAAAATACCACCAGATCATAATACTGAATGATAATTATCAAAACAACATTATCGAAAAAAGAAAAATTATAATGTAAGATAGAACGAAAAAGTTTGAACCACATAATTTTATACTTAAGCATTAGAGTTCCGAAACGACCATAAAAAAGATGTGGAGTCTTCCCATTTACCTTCCTCTCCATGATTGACCCATTTATTTCTTAAGTTTTTCTTTTAAGTTTAGAAAGTTTTTGAAAAATTAAAAAGTGAAAAATAGAAAATTTTGGAAATTTATTATTTATGATCCTACAATCGTTTTAAAGACGTATCATTTTCATAAAATTTAATTGTCCCAATCTCAATTATGATCGGTAAATTCATTATTTACATTTGTTGAATGCAACGTCATTCATAAAATTGCATACATATTGTTTATTTTTATTTTTTTGGTACGGAGGAAGGCAAAGCCCAATAAAAAATAAAAAACTAGGCAGGGACAGCTATCGGAAGGTTCCCCCCAATAATATCAGAAACTAAAAAAATTGGGATGTGATATCCACACATCCCATGTTACTTCTCATACATCCTTCTAATTTTCAGTCGTCAAATCAAATGATTTGAAGAAGATTGACAAACATAAATGAACAAGAGATGTTTGAGAAGTAATTTGGGATGTGTGTGGATAGCACACCCCAAAAAATTAGTAACAATGGTAGGACCGGAGGAGAAACAAAAAACGCGAAGACCAAGTCATGAGTCATCTATGTGGTTAGCTGAGGTTTTTTTTTTTTTTTTATGGGTGTGTTTGTTTCTCCTTAGGAGGGATTGACTTTGACTGTCTTTATCAGGATTATTATCTTACGTTTGATAAAGTCTTGGGCTACAATAAATGGGACTCGCCTCAACTACGAGACCCTCCTCACTTCACTAAACCCCATTATCTAGCCTCATACTTTCGCTTAGTATTAAGCGGGACTAAAAGAAAATTGAGACCGAGATTCAAACCGCAGCTTTTGCTTGCTAAACAATGACATCCAATCCTTGGGCTTCCTTTTTCTTCTACGACGTCGTCACTGTGGCCAGCAATTGACGGTGCTTGTTCTTCTTTTTTCCCAAAAAAAATCCCAGATGGCTAGCTTTGGGGATGAACAAAAAAATTCCAAAAAACCCATGGGCTTTGCTTTCTTCGTCTACCCATCTCTAAAAACTCCTTTTCTCTGTTTCAAATAATGCTCAAAGCTTCTTTCTTTCTCAATCGACACTTTGACCAACTCGCCGAAAAAAGAAAATCAAGAAATTGGAAAAATCAACGGAGTCAGTCAGATAATTGATAGAGATGATGATTGATTGGTTGAATAGATTATAGAGTTCAAAGGAAAGATGGGAAGGACTTGGGTTTTGCAAGAAAAAGATAAAGAAAAGGAAAGATGGGACGGAGATAAAGAGAGAGAAGAGGAAAGAAATTTCCAAAGAGGGGTAGAGATTTTTAGAAAAAAAAAAATGTTGAATTAATAATAAAATATTATTGGAAATGTGTTAAATAATATAATATTATAGTTTGTTAATTATCCTGTTTTTTAGTCCGATATTACACCAAACACTTCACTAAGACAATCCAACTTAGTATAGTCTAAGTCAATCCAACTTAGTCTCTGAAGCTAGTCCAGTTCGAGATAGTCCGGTGCAACAAACGCACCCTATAAGTATGAATGACTTCACATCTCCAATTTATTTTGATAGCTTCTTTAGCGCAACTCCAGCGTTACAAAGCCCCCTAGGGCAAATCACTATTGAATAGCCTCTAGTGAACAGTAACTGCCTTTTGCATCTCCACTCCTAAACTGAATAGCCATGGCAATAGGCAATAAAATATTAGTATTTTTTATTTTATAAAATAATAAAAAAATAATTTTATTTGTAATTTGGGATATGATTTTTAACCGGTCTCGTTGTACCACGTGTCTTTAAATAAGAAATTACAACCCAAAGTATTTGAGAAAATATAAAATTATGGTGTAAGTTGGAAGATAATGATAACATATTTATAGAAAAATTAAATCATTTTTTTTTAATTTTTTTTTCTGATTTTTTATTTTAATTTTTTACATTTTTTAATTAATTTTTTACATTTTTTATTAATATCTTTTATTTTTATTAATTTTATATTGTGGCTAACGTCAGGATGACGTCAGCCATTCATCACTTGAGCCTCAGGCTCTTAGGCGATGGATTCCAGCCTGGCCTGTCCACCGAGCTTTCCCCGAGCCCCATTTCCCACATGGGCTAGAGCCAATTGCTAGGGCAATTGGATAATTGGAATCACCGGTCCATCGGGCTAAAGAACACGCTAGACTTGCACTTACAATCTTTTATAAGGTTGTAGAGTGGGTGCAAACTAAAATAGTTTGTTAAATCCAAGTGACAGCAGCACAAGAGTCACATTGAAGAATTAGATCCTTGCATTCCTCATCTTAAGCCATAGAGAGACCCATGTAAACACCCTAAAATTCAGCTTCCATGATGGTTCCTCTGCCGACGTTAGCAACAAAGTCTTCTATCTATTCCCATTCAGTCCTACGAAGCAAACCTCCAACAATTATTAAATCGGGATGATAAATTTTAGACTAGAGAAAATTCAAATACAATTTTTTAATATAATAGATAGTGCGCTTCCAACTTTTCAATTATAGTTAATGAAATAAGTTGCACAGTTTTGTGATAAGTTTGGTTGTATGTGGTTTAGGATTGTGCGAATGTTTGTTCAGTTTACCATTTTGTTCAACCAACAATTGACATGACGTTTCATTTGTTGTCTTATGTTTGATTCTCATCAAAAGCGAATTTGAACCACATTATTGATAAACCATTGTGAGGCTTAGGTCATCTCCAACCAAATGAAGGCCAAAGGGCTCCTTTTAGCCCTATAATCCCCAATAAATTACATTTTAATGAACAGTGTTAGACCATTATCAAGGGGACTAAAGGGTCATAGGCCAAACATAGCCCTTTGACAAAAAAACCATCTCCAACCGAGGGGGCCAAAGAGGCATAGGGCAAACATAATTTATTATTTTAATGTGGTTAATTAAATTAAACTACCACATTAAAATAAGGTTTTCGGACATATTTTGAGTGTCACTTGTCGCCAAATGAATAAGAATCCGGATTTCTTATCTTTATATAATCTCAATAATTCTTTGGATAGGATTTCGAGTAACACATGTCTCTAACGTAAGTAACTTTCCAGATTTCTTATTTTTATGTAATCTCAATAATTTTTCGAATGAGATTTCGAGTGACACGTGTCGCTAGCTAACGTCATGCTGACGTCAGGTAACGATTGACATTCAAATAGGCTGAGCTGGAGGGTTGGCAAAATATCAAGCTTGACATTGTGGCATTGGAGGGTTGGCAAAATGCACTTTAAGCCTGGGCTGGAAGGCTGGCTGGCTGGAAATGGTCAGCCCGTTGGCTTGATTTAGGGGTTTTGGGTTGATGGGGCCCACAAGCCCTTTGGCCTAGCCCTCGATTGGATACGGTTTTCGTGTCATTTTGAGCTATTTTTATCGCTATGATCCTTTGACCGAGTCGGTTAAAGATGGCCTTAGACTACCCCATCTCTTAGTGTAAATAATGTTATTTGTTCAAAAAAAAAAAATAATAATCAACATGATGGTGTTTTTTATCCACTTATGACACGTGTAATTATCCGTAACCATTTGGGAATGTATCAAATTTTAACTCCTTCTCAAATCAACTCTCCCTTATCACATTGCAACGGATTAGTAAAGAATGCCAATTGTGAAAGGAAGCATGTGATCTGACTTCAATTCCTCTCACTAAATTACGGATTAGTAAAAATTGCCACTAATGGAGGAGGTCTTATCTCTGAGTCTCTGACTTCCAATAATGCAAAGGTTGTATCGTACGTATACGTGATGAGTTCGATTATGAGTTAGTTATTGCAAATTACTTATCTCGTATAACTTGTCAAAAATAAATTATTGCCGATGAATTAATCTAATATTAACAAATTTAGTTATTAAATATTGACAACCTATCCCTAAATTTTAAGACGTGATTATTTCAACAATTGAGATTTGTATTTTCATGATTTTAGCCAATTTTGCCAAAAGAAAAACATAGGCTGAAATTAATAGTTTGCAAGTTAACAAGGGTAGAGATATGGGCCAGCAAGGCCGAAAGCAATTATCGAGAACTGCGAAGAGGTTGATTGTATGAACATTGAGGCCTATTTTTTGTGGTCAGCCAACTCGGTCAACTTAAAAAATATTTTTAAACAACTAAAAACGTTTTTAAAAAAAAGAAAATTTTAACGAAAAATTTCTGGTATTGTTT